TGTGTGTGTGTGTGAGAGTGGTATTGTGGTTATGTTTTTATTATTTATTCATTGCTAGCCCCTCCTGATCGCCACCCTCCCCTCACCCACAGCCTTTCTGGGCTCTGCATCCCAGCAGTGACCATCTTGTGTGGAGGCAGCACCAAGGTGTTGCCACAGGACCTTCTTGCTCCTGACTCCCACTGGGATTTAGAGCAAGCTGCTCCAGCCCTCTGAGCCTCAGTTTCTCCAGTTGTGTAATGAGGCAGAAGGGGGAGGAGATAAAAGCTTGATCCCTGGCTCCTGCCCTTGTTCCTTTACGGTATTTATTCCGTGTGTGCAACATTCCAGGCACCTGCAGAAGCTGGGAGCCAGCGGTGACAGCCAGACAGACATGGTTTCTGCCACCAGGGGACACACACTTGGCAGGGAGATGGGCATTCACTCGGGTTCCAGCCACCTCTGTAGAGCTCTATGTCTGCGTCCCTGGCAGCCCCATGGCCCCAGTGGCCCGCTGCTCAATTCAGTGTCCCTAGGTCACCTCCCAGGGCCTGGAATTGGCTGGACACCACAGTGTGCCAGGTTCTGTGCAGGGCCACGGGGAGGAGTGGGATGCCCGTTCCTTCTGATGGATTCTCACTCTGTCGCCTAGGCTGGAGTGCAGTGGCACGATCTCAGCTCACTGCAACCTCTGCTTCCCGGGTTCAAGCAATTCTCATGCCTCAGCTTTTCGAGTAGCTGTGATTACAGGTGTCCACATCATGCTCAACAAATTTTTGTATTTTTAGTAGACATGGAGTTTCACCATGTTGGCCAGGTGGTCTCGAACTCCTGACGTCAAGTGATCCACCTGCCTCCGCCTCCCAAAGTGTTGGGATTACAGGTGTGAGCCACCGCACCCGGCCAGTGGTTATGTTTCTAAAGAGTCCCTATCTTTTACAGAGGCATACAAAAATATTTATGGATGAAATAGTATAATGCATGGGATTTGTCTCAAAATAATTTGGAGGGGGATGCATTTGGGGTACACATGAAACAAGCTTCCAGAAAGGTTGATTTTGTTGAAGCTGAGTGATTGTGGTGCTGAGGTTTGTTATCCTAACTGCTCTACTTTTGAGTAAGATAAAAATGCCCCCTAGGCCGGGCACCATGGCTCATGCCTGTAATCCCAGTACTTTGGGAGGCCAAGGATCATCTGAGGTCAGGAGTTTGAGACCAGCCTGACCAATATGGGGAAACCCCATCTCTACTAAAAATACAAAAAAATTAGACAGGCGTGGTGGTGTACGCCTGTAATCCTAGCTACTCAGGAGGCTGAGACAGGAGAATCGCTTGAACCCAGGAGGCAGAGGTTGTAGTGAGCCAAGATCGCGTCACTGGACTCCAGCCAGGGACACAGCTAGACACTGTGTCAAAAAAAAAAAAAAAAAAAAAAAGGGCCCGTAATAAAAAGTTAACCAGTTAACCACCAACAAGGAGCAAAAAATAACCTCACAGATCTGTGTTCCTTCTCTTCACGACACTTAAGCCAGGTGGTATTGACACACCTGTCTGTTCTCCCACCAGCCACGGGTTCCACTGTGATGGTGGGCAGAAGTGGGAGGCTGGGACTAAGCTTTGCTTATAACCAAACCCCAGCCAGTGGGGCGGACTTGCGCGTTTTAGGCATGCTCAGTTGATGGCTGCTTTCATTTCCCATTTGCATCCTTGCCTCCCAATACTAGAAGTCAAGAGCTGACTTAAAGGGAAGTTGGCGCCAGGCATGCTGGCTCACCCCTGTAATCCCAGCACTTTGGGAGGCCAAGATGGGCAGATCACTGGAGTTCAGGAGTTCAAAACCAGGCTGGACAACATGGTGGAGACCTGTCTCCACTAAAAATTCAAAAAGTTAGCTGGGCATGGTGGCACATGCCTATGGTCCCAGCTACTCGGGAGGCTGAGGCGGGAGGATTGCTTGAGCCAGGGAGATGGAGGGTGCAGTGAGCCAAGATGGTGCCACTATACTCCAGCCTGGGTGACGGAGTGAGACCCCAGCTCAAAAAAAAGAAAGGACATCCTACCTGCACAGCCAAACTCTCTGGTGCTGGGGGCTCAGTGGGGCCCCCCAGGCTGCACCTGCAGCAGTGGAGTGCCAGGCCTGAGGGAAGCTCCCCGTCCTTTGTGTGGCTGTGTGATCCTCCCTCTCCTGCCTGGCCCCTTCCTTCTGTTGGCACCACAAGAAGAAGTCTAAGGAGAGACAGAGGAGGAGAGAAAAGAGTAAGCAGATGGGAGGATCTGAGCCAGGAGGGACCCCTGACACCTGGGGCGCTTGTCACCCCCATCTATGAGTAAGTGATGTCTAGCTCCAATACTCTAGCCTCTGGCATGGGTCTGCATCAGCGCATCAGCCCATGAGTGCAGGCTGTGCTCCTCTCGTGCTGTGTGTCCTCAAACTAGTCACTTAACTTCTCTGTGCCTCAGTTCTCCATCCATAAAATGGGCACAATTCCTCTTGGGGGGGGTCACTGAGAGGCTCAAATGAGATTGTCTCTGGGAGGGTGCCAAAGCAGATATACAATAGATGTTGATTCACCCAGGGGTCCCCCACCCCAGCCCATCCCGTGTGGAGCTCAGGCCCTGGGTGGCCAGGCTCTATCTCCCCGCTTTCCCAGAACCCCACATCTCACCAGCTAGTTGCAGGGCCCGCAGGATCTGGACTCTCTCACCTCTGCCGCCTGTTCTCTGTCCAGGATTCGACGGAAGCCACCGAGCTCTCTTCTCCTCCTTCAGACTTCCTGGACTAAAAGTGAAGTTGCCCAGAGAGAAACTGATGACCCGGGAGTGAGGGCACACAGTCCCAGCCTGTCCACCCCACCCCAGCCAGGTGTGGTCTGGCCGCGGGAGCCGGGGATGCTGAGTTCCCTACTCTCATGTACTTTTTTGTTTTTTTTTTCTTGTGGGACGGAGTTTCGCTCTTGTTACCCAGGCTGGAGTGCAATGGCGCGATCTCGGCTCACCGCAACCTCCGCCTCCTGGGTTCAGGCAATTCTCCTGCCTCAGCCTCCTGAGTAGCTGGGATTACAGGCACACGCCACCATGCCCAGCTAATTTTTTGCATTTTTAATAGAGACGGGGTTTCACCGTGCTGACCAGGATGGTCTCGATCTCTTGACCTTGTGATCCACCCGCCTCGGCCTCCCAAAGTGCTGGGATTACAGGCTTGAGCCACCGCGCCCGGCCTCCCTACTCTCTTTTGGACAGTTCATTTTATGCCTGCTGGGGGCAAATTCTGCTCTTGATTTATTCTCTTCAATACGGTTTGGATTTCTTCTTAACAACAAACATGTATTAAAATAAATATCACTTAAATAATTCTTTACATAGATTTGTTCAATTTAAAAATAAGAACATGGCCGGGCGTGGTGGCTTGTACCTATAATCCCAGGACTTTAGGAGGCTGAGGCGGGCAGGTCACTTAAAGCCAGGAGTTTGAGACCAGCATGGTCAACACAGCAAATCTACCAAATATATATATATACACATGCATACACAAAAATCAGCCAGTGCAGTGGCACACACTTGAAGTCCCAGCTACTCGGGAGGCTGAGGCATGAGAATTGCTTGAGCCTAGGAGGCAGAGGTTGCAGTGAGTCAAGATCACGCCACTGCCGGGCGCGGTGGCTCAAGCCTGTAATCCCAGCACTTTGGGAGGCCGAGGCAGGTGGATCACGAGGTCAAGAGATCGAGACCATCCTGGTCAACATGGTGAAACCCCGTCTCTACTAAAAATACAAAAAATCAGCTGGGCATGGTGGCGCGTGCCTGTAATCCCCACTACTCAGGAGGCTGAGGCAGGAGAATTGCCTGAACCCAGGAGGCGGAGGTTGCGGTGAGCCGAGATCGCGCCATTGCACTCCAGCCTGGGTAACAAGAGCGAAACTCCGTCTCAAAAAAAAAAAAAAAAAAAAAAAAAAAACAAGATCACGCCACTGCACTCCAGTCTGGGCAACAGAGCGAGACTCCGCCTCAAAAAGTGATAATAAAAAGTAAAATAAAATTTTAAAAGTCTTCCTAAACATCATATTGGATGGCTGCTAATTGTTCATCGCGTGGTCAAACCATTATTTACTCACTTACCATTGGGCATTTAGGCTGCTTTTCAGTTTGTTTTTTTGAGACCGAGTCTTTCTGTGTTGCCCAGGCTGGAGGGCAGTGGCATGATCACAGCTCACTGCAGCCTCGATTTTCTGGGCTCAAGTGATCCTCCCGCCTCAGTCTCTAGAGTGGCTGGGACTACAAGCATGCCCCGACACCTGGCTAAATGTTTACTTTTTTTTCCCAGAGATGGGGTCTCGATATGTTGCCCAGGCTGGTGTCTAACTCCTGGCCTCAAGTGATCCACCTGCCTCAGTCTCCCAAAGTGCTGGGATTACGGGCATGAACCACCATGCCTGGCTGTTTTGAAGTTTTTACAATTACACTCTTTTTTTCTTTTTTTTCAGGTATTAAGCAACGAAGATCAGGTAGTTTTTACAATGATAAATGATGCCATGACAGACTTTTTTTTCCATACATCTTTGCCCACATCTGCTTATTTCATTTCCATTCTTTTTGGGATGAGAAGTAGGGGCGGCAAGGCAGGAAGTGGGGGAAGGAAGGCCACCAGCCGCCCCGGCCACACTGACCAACCTGGTGTGTTCCAGCCTGCTTCTCTGGACGGGGTCTGCCACTGTGCTTCTTCCCAAGGAGGGGCCTTGGCCCTGGGCTCTTCTGGAAGGCGGGGACCCTGACCCAGCCCATGTGCGGGGCTGTCCTTGTTTCTGCTGCAGAGCCAGGTTGTTCCACTGGGTCAAGAGAGATGGAGAAAAGAGATGTTGACCTTGACTCTTCCTCCCAAGGGAGCACTAGGCAGGGACACACCTATCAGACTCCACAGCCTGTGGTCTTAACTATAACTCTGCCTAGTCATTCCTTCTTTGAGAATCAAGGAATGAATGAATGAACAAATAGAGAGGTGCATCCCAAGAGGCAACGCCTTCGTTAGAAGACGAAAGCTGGGGCCAGGTGTGGTGGCTCACGCCTGTAATCCCAGCATTTTGGGAGACGGAGACGGGCGGATCATGAGGTCAAGAGATCGAGACCATCTTGGTCAACATAGTGAAACCCTGTCTCTACTAAAAAATACAAAAATTAGCTGGGCATGATGACACGTGCCTGTAGTCCCAGCTACTCAGGAGGCTGAGGCAAGAGAATCACTTCAACCTGGGAGGCAGTGATTGCAGTGACTGAGATCACGCCATTGCACTCCAGCCTGGTGACAGAGCAAGATTCCATCTCAAAAAAAAGAGATCGAGACCATCCTGGCCAACATGGTGAAACCCCGTCTCTAGTAAAAATACAAAAATTAGCTGGGCATGGTGGTGCGTGCCTGTAGTCCCAGCTACTTGGGAGACTAAGGCAGGAGAATCTCTTGAACAACCTGCAGGATGCAGAGGTTGCAGTGAGCCGGGATCACGCCACTGCACTCCAGCCTGGCGACAGAGCGAGACTCTGTCTTAAAAAAAAAAAAAAAAAAAAAAAAACCACGAAAGCTGGGACTGGATCCTCTCAGAGCACCGCTTTCCCAAGGAGAGGACACAGATGCTCCCTCCCAACCCTGGCTGGCAAACCACCAATTAAAAATAGGAACCATTTATCTAGTAGCTTGCTATATGCTAGGCAGAGTTCTGAATCCCTTATTAATTTAATCTCCCTGCGACCCTGAGAGAGGTATGTACTACTATCATCAACATCCCATTTTAGAGATAAAGAGACTGGGGCACAGAGAGGTTAGGTAACTTGCCCAAGGTCACACAGCTAGAAAGTGGTAGCGGGGGCAGGATTTGAACTCAGGCAGAGCTGATTCAGGCGTGCTGACTCATAACTACACGCTCTACTGCTGATCATTCTTGAGGTGCAACCTATGCCCAGTGGGTACCCTCTCCGTGACTGAGCCTCCTCCCAGACACCAGTGCTTCACACCTCCCCCTGGCCCAACCTGGAGACCCCTGACCTCTAGGAAGCTCCTGGCGAGCAGGGCCTTTGTGTACCGCCCCCAGGCTGCCTCCAGCTGAGCCTCCCGGAGCCACAGGGCCTGAAGGCCCTTTCGCAGCAGCTGCTGGTGGCCCAGTGCCACTGCTGCCGCCACTGCTGCCTGCTGCATTTCCACCAAGTGCCTCCAGCCTTGAAAGTATCTGGACAGCGGCTGCCAGCTGGGGACAGACCAGGGCTGATCAGGGGGTGGACTGCCCTCCTATCCCCAGGGAGTGCCTAGTGGCTGGGTACCCTTCGAGATGTCTTTCCAGCAATCAGTAGGGTGATAACCCACAGCAGGAGCCTCACACTGCCGACTGGGAGAACTTCCCTCTTATTGAAGGACCTGGGAATCCCACACAAGCAAGGCTCTGGGGGTGGCAGAAGGCCCTCTTTATTTCTTTTTAATTAATGTATACATTTTTTGAGACAGGAGCTTGCTCTGTCGCCCAGGCTGGAGTGCACTGGCTTGATAATGGCTCGCTCCTGGGCTCAAGCGATCCTCCCACCTCAGCCTCCCGAGTAGCTGAGACTACAGACAGGCACCACCACACCCGGCTAATTTTTGTAACGTTGTTGTAGAGACAGGCTTTTGCCACCTTGCTCAGGCTGGTCCTGAGCTCCTGAGCTCAAGCAATCTGCCTGCCTCAGTCTCCCAGTGTTAAGATTACAGGCATGAGCCACCGCATCCGGCCAGAGGCTGCCCTCTTTGCCAATAACTCAGGGTGGGCCTCAGACGTTCAGGACACTCAGTGCCCCAAACCCACAGGCATCGGTCCCCTCATTCTCGTCCCTGGGCCCAGGAGGCTCCCTTCGTTCCCCAGGAGGGACAGGTAAGAAGTTCCCCTTCCTTGAAACTCTGCCTCGTCTCCAGCAGGCCCTCATCTCCATTTGCTCAGGCAGATGGGAGCGGGGAGTCCTGGCTTCATCTCTATCAGGCCCTTGTTCCTGTTCACTCAGGCAAATGGGAGCAGGAGTCCTGAGCATGTGTGCCCCAACTCCAACCCCGTCCCCACCCAGCCATGCATGGCCTCACCAGGTTGCCTCGGACTCCGGGGCCAAGATATTTTGTGCCTTGTTCTGGGAAAGCAAGAGTAAGCAACACAGTTCTCAGGCCAAGGAGCAGGCGGGACAGGGCACCCCCTGCCAAGCCTCCCTGCCCTGGTGCAACACCCCCTCCCACACCCTACCTCCAGCCTCCCCTGGCCTCTACCTGTGAGGCACTGCTCGCTGGGGCTGTGTCTGGCAGATGGGAAGCCGTCCTCTCCTCCTCCCTGTGGACCTGCTCCCTCAGGGCCCCCTCCTCTCTTTTCTGCTTGGGTGGGACTCTCCAGGCTGTGTTGGAGAAGGCTGAGGAACAGGGGCCGGCCTCCCTGCTCCCTACGCCTTGAGGGAGACCCCTCTGTGCCCTGTCACCTGGTGACCCCGCGGAATAGCTGTCCCCTGACCCTAAGGGATGGGCGGGAGGGAGCCCCTGTTCAGGATTAAGGAAATCCCCGGTCAGTGTCCCCAAAGTGGTCTCAGGTGACATTAGCTTGCTTTGAGCCCAAGAGTCTGAGAGAGCAGCTGGGGTCTCCAGGGAAGCTGCAGTTTCCCTGCGGCCTCGGAGTTGTCTCCTCCTCTCATCCCAGGAAGCAAGGACAGGCTGGCCGGGCTGCGGGTGGGCGGAGAGTGGCTGGCTGCCGCTGGTCCAGAGGTCCTGCTGCACAGCACCGGGGGGTTCCTGGGATGCCTGACAGCTGAGTTGGGCTGCCTCTGGCACCAGGCGATGTACGGAGGCCAGAAGCTGGTGGAAGCCATGGGATGGGGCCCGAGCCTGGTTCTGACTGGGATCAGCCAGGTCCTCCAGGGTGAGAGGTTCCTCCACCAGCCTGGACGTCCAGCTCCCCAGGTTACCCCAGGATCTGAGGCCCGGCTGTGGGTGCCCATCGAGAGGGGCAAAGGCTGCAGCAGGCCTGAAGTCCCGGCTAGGGGTACCTGGGGCTGGCAGCCTGGACTGCCTCCGATAGGGGGATGGGCAAGCCAGTGCCCCTTGGGAGAGGAGATGTCCCTGGAGGAGCTCATGGGGCCTAAAGCTCCCCGCCGGCTCTGGGCAGAGGAGGGGGCTGCTGGTCCCACTTATGCTCAGGTTGCTCTGCTGGATGGCAAACTCTTGGGCCTTCCCTTGGCGCCTCCTGGTCGGGGGCTGCAGGTTGCTCTGTTGCCAGAAGCTTGAATTGACTAGTCGGCCGGTTGTGTCCTTCAGGGCTAGGCCCAGACGGGGACCAGGGCTGGCCAGGTTGGTCTGGACTCGGCAGGGCTCCTGGTCTAGCACTGCCCCTGGAGAGGGTGTGGCAGCAGGCTCTCCCCTCTCCACCTGGCACCTGGACACCCACCGGTCATGACTACTGCTCAGGCCAATGACCAGGCTCCTCCTCCGTTGCTCTAAAGAAAGGAGAGACAGTCTGCTGGGCGCAGTGGCTCATGCCTGTAATCCCAGCACTTTGGGAGGCTGAGGAGGGCAGATCACAAAATCAGGAGTTCGAGACCAGCCTGGCCAATATGGTGAAACCCCATCTCTACCAAAAATACAAAAATCAGCCAGGTGTGGTGGTGCGCGCTTGTAGTCCCAGCTACTCAGGAGGCTGAGGCAGGAGAATTGCTTGCACCCGGGAGCTAGAGGTTGCAGTGAGCCGAGATTGAGTCACAGTGAGACTCCATCTCAATAAAAAAAAAAAAAAAGAGGAGAGACAGTCATGGCCTGGGGGAGAACTTGGACGAGCTGGCACTCGGGGGACAGGTGGAGCCGTCCAGGTCTTGGATCAAGGGAGGGGACAGGGCCCAGCAGCGGGAGGGGGCTGAGACTTCCGGGGTCTGCTGCCAGCTCTGCCTCCCTGGGTGAAGCGATGGGCAGACTCTGGGGCTCTTGGAGTCGGGGGTCTTGGAGCTGGACAGAGGGAAGCAGAGAGACATTTAGGAGGCTGTTGAGGGGATCCCAGGAGAGAGATAATGGTGGCTGGGATCAGACTAGCAGGTGGGTAGAGAGAAGATTCAGGTAAGCTTCAGAGGTGGAGCCAACAGGCTTGGAAATCAGGTAAAAGGGAAAAAAAGAATCGAGGGGGACTATTGATTTCTGGCTTGAGCAAAGAGGTGGCAGGGGCAGTGGGCTGGGGTGAAAGCGAGACCCCATAGAGCAATGACTAAAGGTGAGCTGCTCTGGGAACATGGAGGGGAGCTTTGAAGCCCCTCCCCAGCCCCCAAGCCCACTCCACAGCCACAGAGTCCTCGTGGGGATGGAAGAGGTGCTGGGAGGCTCTGGGCTCAGAGCCTGGCAGGTTGAGTGGGCCATAAAAGTTGCTGCCTTTGTGGATAGGAACTAAAGCTCAGAGAGGGTAAGCAACTTGCCCCAGGGTCACACAGCTGGAACACAAAGAAACTGGAATGTGAATTCAAGCATCTGCATTTGTTCTTGGGCTGTTCCCCTTCTTGGCTGGCCCAGCTCTGTGGCTTTCTTAAAGCTCAGTAGCCTGAGCAGGGATGTCCCCAGCCCCCCATCCCTGGCACAGACTGTCCTGTGGGGTCCCCGTCTTAGCCAGGGTACCAGCCAGGCCTACTCCTGGTCCCCTCTCTTCCTGACCTCACTCTCCCAAGAACCCCCCTCCTTAGGCCCCAGGCTGGGAAGACTCTGTCCTTTCCCCAGCCGACCATGGATAGCTGATCTCCGGAACTAGCCAGGCCTTAGGCTTGTCTGCCTGGGAGGGGGGCTCTGGGTGGATATCTAGACGGGGCCCTGCTCCTGTAACCACTCAGTCAGGCCCACCAAGCCTCTTGCCTGGCTTCAGGAGCGCTGTAGGCTTTGGGGACACATTCTCCTTGTGGCTGGCATCAGACCTTAGCTCCATGGGCTTGGGGACAGGGGCGTCCTAGGTCCACCCCACCGTCAGGGGCCTGGTCCATGTGATCAGATGGGCCCTGTGGGGAGAGGACAGGTTGACCTGGCTCTCATTCAGCCCCACCCCATTCTCATCCCTACCCCCTCCCTTTAGCAGCATTCCTGGCTGCCCCTGACCTGGTCCCAGCTGCCCAGGGCCTGTTCCTCACTGCTCTGGTCTCTCAGGGTCTCCTCTCCCTGCCCTACTAATCGTCTCCTTTTCCATGGTAAGTGACCAGGTCAAATGCTGCCTAATCCTGTCCCCCAGACCTCTTGGCTGAGGTCTGACCATGCAGGTCCAGTGACCTCCTCCACGCCTACCTGGAGGTCTAACAGGCAGTGCAGTGTTAATATGTTCAAAACTGTTGGGAGGCCGGGGTGGGTGGATCACGTGGTCAGGAGTTCAAGACCAGCCTGACCAACATGGTGAAACCCCATCTCTACTAAAAATACAAAAATTAGCCAGGTATGGTGGTGGGCGCCTGTAATCCCAGCTACTCGGAAGGCTGAGGCAGAATTACTTGAACCAGGGAAGCGGAGGTTGCAGTGAGCCGAGATCGCACCAATGCACTCCAGCCTGGGCAACAGAGCAAGACTCTGTCTAAAAGAAAAAGAAGTCCAAAACTGAACTCTAGCCATTCTCAAAACCAGCTCTCCCCCATCGGTGCCCTCCTTGTCCGTGGATGGCAGCTCCAGCCTTCTGATGGCTCAAACAAAAATCCTGGAGCCAGCCCCAACTCCCCTTCTCCCTTACACCAGTGGCTACTCTGATAGGCTCTGCCTCCCAAATGCATACAGGATCTGACCCGGGTGCACTGGGCCAAGTGGCCCTCACCTGCCACCTCCCAACTGGTCACTCTTATTCTGCCCTCGTCCTCTCGCCCGACAGCCTCCTCTTCACATAGCAGCAGGGCGATCCTGTGAACACTTAAATCAGACCATGTCCTGCCTCAACTCAAATGCCACAAAGGCTCTCCAGCCCACTCAGTGCTCCTGTGAGCCTTCAAGGTCGTAGTCCAGGGGCTAGAAAACTATTGCCTGGGCCAGTGGTCCCTTATGTGAATAAAGTTATACTGGAACAAAGCCCATTTGTTTATAGACTGCCTGCTTTCCAGCTGCAATGGCAGAGCTCAGTAGCTGCAAGATACCTTAGGCTGCAAAACGTTTTTTTTTGTTTTGTTTTGTTTTTGAGACGGGGTCTTAGGCTGCAAAAACTTTTTTTTTTTTTTTTGGGGGGGTGGTTCGGTCTTCTTGGCTGGAGTGGAGTGCAGTGGCACAATCTCGGCTTACTGCAACCTCTGCCTTCCAGGTTCAAGTGATTCTCCTGCCTCAGCCTCCTGAGTAGCTGGGATTACAGGCACACGCCAGTACGCCTGGCTAATTTTTGTATTTTCAGTAAAGACAGAGTTTCACCATGTTGGTCAGGCTGCTCTTGAACTCTTGACCCTCGTGATCTGCCCGCCTTGGCCTCCCAAAGTGCTGGGATTACAGGTGTGAGCCACCGCACCTGGCTAAAACCTTTTTTGTTTTTTTTTTTTTTTTTTTGAGATGCAGTCTCACTTTGTCACCCAGGCTCATACAATGGCGTGATCCCGGCTCACTGCAACCTCCACCTGCCTCTCTGGGCTCAAGGGATCCTCCTGCCTCAGCCTCTAAGAAACTGGGACCACAGGCGCATGCCACGAGACCTGGCTAATTTTTGTATTTTTGTAGAGACAGCGTTTCGCCATGATGGCCAGGCTGGTCTTGAACTCCTGACCTCAGGTGATCCACCTGCCTCAGCCTCTGAAAGTGCTGGGATTACAGGCATGAGCCACCACACCTAAACCTGCAAAGTCTTTAAAATCCGGCTCCCAGTTACTTTACGGTCCTCCCCACTCCTCTTCCCCTTGCCCACTGTCCACACACACCAGCCCCCTGGCTGCTCCTCCAAACGCCACGCCCGCCCTCGCCTGTCCTCACCACGCATGCCCTCACCTGTGCTGCTGCCCCTCTGCCTTCAAGTCCTGCCTCCCATATCAGAGCCCTCCTACCCACTCTCTCTCTAACTGCTGCACCCTGGCCTCTCCTCACTCTCTTGCCCTGCACTTGTGGCTACATAACAGTGAAGAAATTGGTGTATTTCTCCCTCCAGTGGCCTAGGAGCCACACGAGGGCAGGCTGGTTTTGTTTCTGTTTTTTTCCCTGCTGGATTTGCAGCCCATAGAACAATGCCTGACCCCCAGCAGGGGCTTGGAAATGTGCGCTGAATAAATGACAGCTAGGCACCGTGCAGCCTTCAGCAGGCGTCCTGACATTTAATCTGCACCGCAGCCGTAGGATTTAAGTTCCCTGTTTTAGAGATGAGGACACGAGATTAGAAGAGCTGCCTGCTCCCACCCCCAAGGCCTCAGAGGGGCCACCCCAGGGCTGGCTCCACAGCGCAGGCTCCTAACCAGGGCCAACACACCATCACCTCTTGCCCAAATGAACTTGAGGCCGCTCCACAGGAGCCCTTCCTACACCCCCGGCCCTCACGTCGGGGTTCCTCTGTCCGTTTCTCTGCCCCCGTCCCCATCCCTCCGACTTCCCCCTCCCACTCCACCCCCACCCCTGTCCACTTAAGGAGGCTCACAGCCTCCCTCCTCTTCCCACCAAAAGAGCCCGAGGTCAGTTTCCTGCCCTCCTGGACCTGCCCTGAAGTGCGTGGGTCCTCCTTGGGTCCTCCTTCACCCAGTCGGATTTGAATCTAGAGGGGGCTCGGGGCCGGGACCGCTAACGACCCCTGCAGGTGGCTGGCGGGTGGGGACGTAGGAGAGCAGAGCGTGCTGTCCCCCGCTTGGCCCCGCCCAGCCCTGAGCCATGGGCGTGGCCACCGACGTCCAAGCACAGCGTGGGGTCCTCGGCAGGCAAAGCACGTGGCCCGAGGGCAACTTTTGCACGTACAAGACTGGCGACATTCTCCTGGCCTTCAGGTCCCTGGGAACCTCCTCCACCCTCTGCCCGGAATCCTGTGGGGTCTGAGCTTCCTCCACCAGGCGTGCCTCCTCCTGGCTCCTTCTCACACCTACAGCTGCCTCTCCGAGTCCCCCCACCGGGGATACCCCCAGCCGTGACCCCACCACCCATGCCTCCTGGAGCTGCAGGATATGCCCCCGGCCCCCATCTGCAGGAACCCCAGGGCAGGACATCCAGGTCATGAACACTCACATCCACACCTGTTCCCAACAGGTGCGATGCCCCATCTAGGGATGTCTCGAATTCAGCCGGCACACCATGACCCTCATAGCTGGGGACACCCCCGTGCTGGGACCCCAGGATCTGGGGGGCAGTCACCACCCTGACACCACCTGGAATGCCTCATCCTGGACCTCCTCCAGTGGGCATCCCCCCCCAGGGGGCCTCAGTCTGGATCTCCCATGGGTCACCAGGGCCTATGCTTCCATGGTATGCATAAGCCTCCTCCAACTGATGCCGCCTCATGGATACACAGGCCCTCTACAACCCCTACCCTACAGCTTCCAGCGGGGGCCTCTCCCTCCACGCAGCCTACTCCCTGGCTTCCAGTTCCTCCTCACGGCCCACTTCGGGGCCTTCTCCCTCAGTAAATTCACATTCTCCTTCCTCCTGTTATATCTTCCCAATATCTTTTTGATACCTTGGACCAGAGATGCTGCAGCTCCTTGCAGCTAAAGCACTAACCCCTTTCAGCCTTCCCACCTCCCTTTTTAATGTCATTTTCCCCCCACAGAAGGTATTTCTTTTTCATGTTGGTCCTAATTATTTTCCAAATGCAGAGAAAATAAAACTATAACAAATTCCTTGTTTAAAAAAAAAGAAAAGGCCAGACACGTCAGCTCAGACCTGTAATCCCAACACTTTGGGAGGCCGAGGCAGCTGGATCGCTTGAGGTCAGGAGTTCGAGACCAGCCTGGCCAACATGGCAAAACCCCATCTCTACCAAAAATACAAAAATTAGCGGGCGTGATGGTGTGCGCCCGTTATCCCAGCTATTCAGGAGGCTGTGGCAGGAGAATCACTTGGACCCGGGAGGCGGAGGTTGCAGTGAGCCGTGATCATGCCACTGCACTCCAGCCTGGGTGACAGAGTGAGGCGCCTTCTCAAAAACAAACAAACAAAACAAAACAAAACAAAGAAACTCTTCCAGCCTTCAGGTACCTCAGAAACTGGCTGGACTCCACCCTATTACCCAGGCTTCGCCATGCCATCAGCCTAGCTTGATCACACTTCCTTCAAGACTGCAAATGTCCTTCCATTTCCACCAGCCAAGCCTTTGCCCTCATTGTGCCCCGCCATGCTCAGCCATCCCTTTCCTTCCTCTCTCCAGATTGTATGTTTTATCCTTTGTAAGCTCCTGCTCAGTCAGAAGACCTGTGATGAACTCTTTCTGCTGACCAGGCGCAGTGGCTTACACTTGCAATCCCAGCACTTGGGCAGGCTGAGGCAGGAGGATCTCTGGAGCCCAGGAATTCAGGACCAGCCTGGGCAGCATTGCAAGACCTCATCTCTATGAAAAAAAAAATACAACAATTAGCCAGGTGTGGTGATGCATGCCTGTGGTCCCACCTACTTGGGAGGCTGAGGCAGGAAGATTCCTTGAATCTAGGAGTTTGAGGCTTCAGTGAGCCACAATCATGGCACTGCACTCCAGCCTGGGCAACAGAGTCAGACTCTGTCCAAAAAAAAAAAAAAAAGAACCTTCTGCTGCTGTGTGACCTTAGGCAAGTCCTTAACCTCTCTAAACCTAAGGCTCCTCATCTGTAAAAGTGGGGTGGTGACACCTACCTCCCCTACCTCTTTGGCTTGATGTGAGGGTCGGATATTTACCAGATAAATGCCAAAGAAGTTTTTAAACGCTAAAGCAATTCTTAAAGAAGGAGGGGGTGATGACTGCTCCCTTCATAGGTCTTCATGTCTAAAGTCTCCTAAACATGATGGATGGAAGCTTTTGTTCTTTAGGTTTATTTATTTATTTATTATTTATTTTTATTTTTTTGAGACAGAGTTTCGCCGTTGTTGCCAAGGCTGGAGTGCAATGGCACGCTCTCGGCTCACTGCAACCTCTGCCCCCGGGGTTCAAGCAATTTTCCTTCTTCAGCCTCCCAAGTAGCTGGGATTACAGGCACCCGCCACCATGGCCGGCTAATTTTTGCATTTTTAGTAGAGATGGGGTTTCACCATGTTGGCCAGGCTGGTCTTGAACTCCAGACCTCAGGTGATCCACCTGCCTCAGCCTCCCAAAGTGCTGGGATTACAGGTGTGAGCCAATGCGCCTGGCCTATTTATTTATTTTTTGAGAAGGAGTTTCACTCTTGTTGCCCAGACTGGAGTGCAGCGGTGCAACTTTGACTCACTGCAACCTCTGCCTCCTGGGTTCAAGCAATTC